GCCACACGTGACCCCTGCCTCAGGGCTTCCCAGCCACCTTACCCTGTTACTGTCCAAGCAGAGCCTTCCAAGAACCTGCATGAGCCAGGCCCCTTTTCCCAGAATCCTGACACAAACTGTCTGAGTAGAGAGGGAGATGGTGGGGTCTGTGTGTCCGAGTTCAGGGAACTCCGTTTCACCTGTGGGTGAGACCTCATCTACCCTACCTCCTGCTTGGGACAACTGTGGTCCAGACACCGCTTGCCTCTTTACTGCCCTGTAAACAAATACGTTATAAGCACAACTAACAGTCCAGCCAGGACCACCATGAAGAAGAGTAAGAAAGGAATCAGAGAGGCAGGAGAAGGAAGATAAAGACGGCAGAAATCTCTGTGTGGGGATCAGGTGTGGTAGCTCACTCCTATAATACTAGCACCCTGGAAGCCCAAGGCGGGTGGATTGCTTGAGCTCAGGAGTTCAAGACCACCCTGAGCAAGAGCAAGACACCATCACTACTAAAAATAGAAAAACTCGTGAGCATAGTGGTGGGCGCCTGTAGTCCCAGCTACTCAGGAGGCTGAGCCAAGAGGATTGCTGGAGCCCAGGAGTTTGAGGATGTTGTGAGCTATGACACCAGGGCACTCTGCCCAGGATGACAGGGTGGGACTCTGTCTAAAAAAAAAAAGGAAGAAGGAAAGAAAGAATGGAATCTCTGTATGTACAACCAGATAAGAACAATTGATTATCATCAAATACTTCGTCAAAAATCCAAAGGCGAAACAAAAGGTCAGAAGGTTTTTCATGGAATATTCAGTGGGAAATGAGGATGTGAAGGTAACGGGGTCCTGTTTAAAATGAGCTGCATTTATCTGAGCATCATCTCAGTGCAGAAAGCGCCAGGTTTGAGGTATGCTGTTTTGGAGAAAATCCCAGGACTGTCTTTTCTGCTGGGAAGGTTAAAGTCCAACATTTCCAGTTAAGGCCGTCATAATTCTGACGCCCGTTGAGAAATGAAATTAGATTCCATTTAGACCACATTTGGCCTAATGATATTCAAAATCTCTTGGAGCAAATCCCAAATGGGCATAAATTACAATGTGAGATTGGAGCGAAGGGGAATGTTGTGGTAATCTGGATTGTAAAGTGCTAGAAGCTTCTAATGGAGGGACGGTTTAGATTTTGGTTCCAGAAACTCTATGAGTCGATAAAACACTGTAACCTGAGACCAATTCAGATTATGCCTGCCCCTGGGACCTTCTCACCAGGCCAGATCAGGGGACCTTAGGGGAATATATGAGATGAGAGATGATCCCCCCAGGTTTCTAAACCTTGTTGCTGTGGACATTTGGGGCTGGGTAATTATTTGGTGTTAGGGGCTGTCCCACACATCATAGCAGTATCCTGCCCTCTACCCACTCCATGCCCCATCCCCCCATGTCGTGACAGCCAAAAGTGTCTCCAAACTTGCCAGATGTCTCATGGCAGGGGGCAAAATCTCCGTCTAGAGACAACCACTGCTCTGGGGTGACCAGCTGTCTCAGTTTGCCTAGGACTTGTAGGATTTCCTGGCATGTGGGACTTTCAGAGTTCAAACCAGAGACCTCCCAGGTAAACCGGAGGAGCTGGCTGCCTTATACATTCCATACCAAAGTTTAAAAGTAAAGAAGACAAACCTTTTGAAATGTCTTTGGGAGGCATTGACAAAGGCAGGTGGGGGAATACAAAATGGGTGTGGTGTCATTCCGTGACAGCAGGTTGCCACATTCCATAAGGCCTTTAGAGTTCTGTCTGTCTCCTCCATCAGTTCCCCTAAGCCCTGAGCCTTGGCATGATGGGCCATCGGGAGATCTGATCCTGGCCCGTGGGCCAAGATGACTTGATTCCAAATTGTGGCTCTTGTTTGACACCTGGAAGTGAGTTTTGAGTGACAGCCTTCTTCTTACAATGGGAGGCTGTGTGACAGTATACATCATGAAAGTGACAGCCACAGCAGAGACTAATTTAATGCCACTTTCTCTGCAGGCCCCCATAAATCACTGCTGCAGGGAAAAATAAATTTTACTTTTTCAGACAAATGATTCAAATAATGATGTGCTCTGGGGAAATTGGGGGCTGAGAGAAGGTCTGTTAGGCTTAAAATTACTTAAATAGCATATCATGGAACTTGTCGCAAACACCTCCTGCACCTGTCCGGGTAAATGCCAGAAGGGGCCTCCTTTCCAGACTAATTAGAAGAGGTGCATAAAATCGTACCCGCCGTCTTGGCAAAATGATCATGTTTTTTAGGCCATCTTCTTGGAAAAGGCAAATTGATTTTAGTGCTGCATATTCTGCATAAATTGGTGGATGAAACAGCTAAAATAAAGATTCTAGAATCTGGAGGCCTGATGGACCACTTATGAATAGGAAAAGTCTTAATGTGAATGGCAAATTGCCAAGGTTTTCCAGCCACCTTCCAGAATCTGATTGTTGTTTAGGAATGTGGTTCTGCTGGGAGGCTTTTAAATTGCTAGAGGGAATGAATTATGGGTCGAGGAAGAACTGGGGCCCCGGAGTGCTACTCGTGAGGAACTTAGTGCATTTGAAGTGTGCAGTGTAGACGGAGCCCCTGCCCATAGGAGCACCACGGAATGTGGCCTCTGAGGCTGTAGGAGACACGGGCACTTTGCCTAAGCCGAACGATGTCTGGTTTACTTGGGGAAGATTCTGGAGCCCGTAAAAGCACAAGAAAACCACTTCCCTGTGACTAGAAGCTGTGTCTTCCTACATACCCGTTGGCATATTGCTCTGGGGGCCAACAGGAAAGAACCCAGGGAAAGTTTTGCTTATGGCCGTTTTCCACCAGCAAGCCAGTGTGATTTTCTCTCTGCAGTGGGTTATTTTGGTTTGGTTGTTTGGTTTTTGGAGATGGGGAAGGTCTCCCTTTGTTGGCGGGGCATGAGGACAGTGGCCTGGTCATAGCTCATAACAACCTCAAACTCCTGGGCCCAAGGGAGCCTCCTGTCTCAGCCTCCCATGTAGCTGGGGACTACAGGCATGTACCCCCTTGCTCAGCTCATTTTTTGGTAGAGACGGAGTCTTGCTCTTGCTCAGGCGGGTTTTGAACTCCTGTCTTCAAGTCATCCTCCCACCTCAGCCTCCCAGAGTGCAAGGATTACAGGGGTGAGCCACCACACCCAGCCTGATTTCCTCACTCTTGGTGTCAACCTGAGCTGGGTGCCAACTTCGGTGACGGAATACGTCATTGGCAAAAGCTATAAAAACTCCTGTCGGGCAGCAGCCTCATCCTTTTGAGCAGTGTGAGCGTAGGGTAAATGAGCGGTTCCTGCGGAGAAGATTTTATAGGAGTGAAAAATTCTGCCTTAGAGCAGCAAGAATAATTGTTATGTGAATTACAGACCTGCTCTGGCTCACGACTCACTGCCTACCGGAGAGCAATGGTCCTCTCTAACGCTCCCGCCACTTTGGGGGAGCTTCGCTGCCTCTTTGTTTTAACCCCATCAACAGCCCAGGAGAGCCTTGGGTTAGGGCTGGCCCAGCCCTTGAGAATAGATATTTGTCTTTTCAAAAGCCAGGCCTGGATACTGTCACAAATGAGAGAAAGAATTTGAGATGACACGCAGGGTAACATAGTATTTTACTGGCCCTGGTTGTTCTTTTCATTCTGCGTCTAAGAGGGGTTTGGGATTTGGGGTTCTACTAGCCTGCTGTCCCACTTTCCTAGTTATATCAGCCTGAGATTCACAATTGCTTCTTGTTGCTCTTGATGGCCCACATGCAGCCCTACGGAGCCGAGAGTCTGCGTCATCACCCTGGGCCTGATCTCCGGCTAGACATGAGCCTCCCCGAGGCTTTGCTGTAGGCACCAGAATGGGAGAGAAGCGGATGGTGGCCTCTAGAAAGACATCAACCCTTGGTTATGATGCTGGGGGGGAAATACAATTATGCAGATATATTTTGAGGCATAGATACTATCATATTTTTTAAAATAATATTTAAAGAATTCTCCCGGGCCGCACTGTGCTAAAGGGTTTGCCTCTGAGGAAAAACAAAATAAAACTTCATTAGTATCTGGTTTACAAAAGACCTTGAGACTTGTGCCTTTCGAGAATTTGTTTTCTGCAAATGGCTGCCCAGGCCCTTGTTCCACAGGAGTAGCTCTGCGATTTCATTAGTTTCCTAATAAACTACAACAAACTGCCACAAACCGGGTGGCTCCCCACAAATTCATCTTGTCGCGTTTCTGGGGGCTCTGAGGGGGAGTCTGCTCCATGCCTCTCTCTCTCAGCCTCCTGGGCTTGCAGGTGCCTAACTCCCATCTCTGTCCACGTCCTCACCAGGCACTCTGCTCTGTGTGCCCCTGAGTCTCCAGTCTCTCTCTCCTTTCTCAGGTAAAGAGGCCAGTCATGGAATTAGGGCTTACCCTACACCCAGGAGGACGTCATTTGGGGATCCTTAATTATATCTGCCAAGGCGTTATTTTCAAATAAGTTCATGTTCACAGGTGGTGAAGGTGGACCTATCTTCTGGGTAGACACAATTCAACTCCCTGGAGTCATCGGGGGGCCCTTTTTGTTCCTCTTCTTAGATAACTCTACGTTGTTCCTCTCTGTTGCTTTCATCCATTTTTAAAGGGCCCTCATGTGGGTTGCTAGGCTCCAGCCTGTCATTTGTCTCTGTCCCCCACCCCCTGCCCTATTTGGGCTTAAACATCCCTTTATCCCACTTCCACCCTACCCCTCTGGGGAGACAAAGCCCAGGCTGGCCAAAAGCTCTGAACATGGAGAATCATGCCCTCGATTCTCATGTCCTTGCAAATCCAGTTGAAGAGATGAGACTTACAGACCTATGGTGTCCCAGTCTGTTGTGGGGACACACAAATATGCACAAGAAATGAGAGGACAGATGCTCGGAACTCCTCTGATGTCTCCAGCATGTTATCCAGAAAGATGTAGTAGCACGGTGAGGCTCTGAACACACTCTCATTGTTTTTTTCATTTTCTTTCTTTCTTTCCTCTTAGCAAACTGCCTAGCTGGGCCAGAGCTGTTGTCCCCAAAATATTCTATGTTACAGAGAAGGCTTGGAACTATTATCCCTACACAATTACAGGTAAGTCCCTTAGTACAACCAGTATGCCACACGTAGCAAAGACCCACGACTTTACAAGGGCCTTGTGCAAACCCTGTAATATCTCCCTCATCCTCTGTTCTTGTAATTCTGGGTCATCAGCACCGTTCCTGACACTGACACAGGGACATCAAGGAAGACCTGGGTTGGGGGGTTTGGGGGGTGGTACGGTTGCGGGGAGGCTAAGCTAAGACATTCCTCCTTCTTAAAGTGATTGTAATAAACGGCCATGGAGAAGATGAAGGTCTTTTTGTGACATTTTTAGAGGTTTTATGGTCCTTATTTTTCATCTGTTTCCTCAAAATTTCTCAAGTAATTTGCTGGTATAATTTGTCTAGGAACTGTTTTTTTTGTTTGTTTGTTTTTTGAGACAAACAGTTGTCATCCTGGGTAGAGTGCCATGGTGTCATCATAGCTCACAGCAACCTCAAATTCTTGGGCTAAAGTGATCTTCTTGTCTCAGCCTCCCAAGTAGCTGGGACTACAGGTGTCCACTACAACACCCGGCTAGTTTTTCTACATTTATTTTTATTTATTTATTTATTTTTGAGACAGAGTCTTACTATGTCGCTCTCGGTAGAGTGCTGTGGCATCACAGCTCACAGCAACCTCCTAGTTTTTCTTCTTTTAGTAGAGACAGGTTCTGGCTCTTTTTGAGGCTGGTCTCAAACTCCTGAGCTCAAGCAATCCACCCAGCTAGGCCTGCCAGAATGCTAGGATTACAGGAGTGAGCCACTGCGCCCAGCCTGCCTATGAACTTTTGGTTTGTTGTTTGCCAGCTCCCTTCACCCCCTAATTTGTATGAAAGAGTCAGTTGGGTCTCTCGGCCCCAAGCTACTTCCTTTGCTATTAAATAATATGAAAACCTAAGATCAGTTTCCCTCTTGCATGAAATGCAATGGGAATAAACTCTGTTCTGAATGCTGCCCTCAAAAGGGTGGCCACAAAGATTGAGAAGGTTTGGTTACTGCCCTCAAACACACTAAGATTAGCACTTGGACATCATCATAACAGGCTCTTATTGGTTATAAAAGCAGCTTTTCCACTCAAAAGATTTCCTTTGTGGTTAATGAAATGTTCTCCTGGAATTATGAGTCTTTAATTCTGCTTTTATAATGCCAACTCTTTGGTTTTTAATTAGCCACAAACCTCTAGGCTAATTGAATCTTGTCTTACTGTTTTTTATCTGCCCAACCACAGTAGTATTATATGAAAAAAATTTCAGTACAAACGTGGAGATGTCTAGTGTTTATGAAAGTTTAATTTTTGGAAGGTTTCTTTAGCACAGTTTTGGTAACGATAATTCATCAGTATCTGTTAATTCTGTGACTTTGTATTGCACGTAAGCATGGTCTAAATCATGATTTTCTCTCTCTCTCTTCTTCCCCCTCTTCGAATGAACACGTGGAATCAGAATACACAGTAAGTTTTATTTCATTACTTTACAGTGTTCCGTCTACGATCAGTGGGGTAATTGGAACTTTCATGGTATTACTTGTCTTATCAATGTAATGATTTTTAAAAAGAGGAATAATTCAGAATCAGAACTACTTAAAGGGAAGCTATTACAGTTATATATAATGCAATAATTTGAATGTTCTCATTTGTTCAAGAACACGAATGCTAATTTCAAGTGCCTGATAGTCACTTTATGTAATTACCTTTTGCTTGTAATTTTTAAATAGTTTGCTTTGTTGGTGATAGTTTGCTATAATAGAAGAACAATTTGCAACAATGTGATATTAAAGAGATGATAGTGGTTACTGATGGAAGGTAGGACTTGAACTCCCAGGCTTGTGTTCTGATTTGTTAGTGGAGGGCCCTGAACCTGGAAAGATACGTGTGCAAACTATTTGAATCAGAGATTTGGATGGCACAGTCTCTGTGACTTAATAAAATAATTTAATTCCTTCCTATCCTAACCCTCTAGAATTATCACGCGCGCACACACACACATACACACACACCCTGAAAAAGAAAACCTATAGTATCTCTGTGTTGTGGTATTTTCCCCAGAGGCCAACAGGTCAAGCTGTCATAACAACAACAACAACAAAATGGTTAACAGAGCCATGATAAGAATTGAGTGTCTAGGTTCTATCAACAGCCAAAGGAAAGAGAGAGATGGTGAGAGAAATGGAGGAAAGTGATTTATCATGCCCTTGGCATGAACATGGTACCTGGCATATCCGAAGTGCTTAATAAACAGCTCTTGAATGACAGAATGAATGCATAATGGATGGATAGCCCCAACACAGGCTTTAGAGTCAGGCAGGCCTGGATGTCCTCTGGCTCTGCCGCTTACTGGCCAGAGTCTCTAAGCAAGTGGTCCCTAACTGCTAGTTCTTGAACTTCATGCTGGTTTGTGAGTATGTCCTCATCTGTCCTCTGCAGAATTAGAAAACAAACAGAAATAATATTCAGAGTTTTTCATAAAATTAAATTTATTTCACCTAAAGGAGTGTTGGTAATTATGTGCCCTCATGCTTGGGTATTAAAATTTTCTATTATGAGATTATAAGAAAACCTAGAGCATCTCCTCCCCCATGTCTCCAACTTTGAAAAAAGAGGAAACTCTGGCAAAATGCACATTTAAAATTTTTGAAGTCAGCAATCCGCTGCTCTGGAGTAAGCATCTTAACTCTTTTGAACTAAATGTCCTCTTTTCTAAGAGTGGGGTAATCCTTTCTTCCTAGAGCTATCAGTAAACAGAGTCAACAATCTAATGTAGGGTTTGGAAAACATTTTCAGGAGACAGTCATATTGTAAACAACTTCTGCTTAGTGGTTCATATAGTCTCTTACTGCAAAAGCAGCCATAGATGGTATGTAAACAAATCGTCATATTCACCCAGGCAACAGGCCACATTTGGCCCCCAGACTCATTTGGGAATCCCAAATCTAATGCCAAGAAAGCTATTAGCATGTTGCCTGTAGGGAGCAGATACCCCACCCCCTAGTGCCATTGCTTCTAGCACTTGCATAATCATTGAGAGGTAGACTTTGGAATGTGTTGAATCTTGCTTCTAGTACCCATTAGCAGACCCTTTAAGCCTCCATTTCTTCCTCTGTAAGTGGGGGAAATGTATTAGCTATCTGATAAAGGATAAGTGAAGATGGTATTAAATAATCCGTGTAAAATCTTAGCACAGTGCTTGGTGCACAGTAAGTACACATTCATCATCATGTACTGTGCAATGCTGCAAGCTGCTATCACTAAAATGGAAAGTGAGGATATATCTTAGGGTCCTTTAATGCAGACTGGCGTCCAGTGATCAGACTGGAAGGTACCAGTTGTCTAGGATAGTATTTCATTTTAGCAGTATCTGCTGTTACCCTACCTCTCCCACTTCCTTGAAAATTTATGCTTGGACTTTTCATTTGAAATACAATCAATAGTTATGTGAAAAAGAAAATTCTCGTCCATGGAACTCCTCCAAGGAAGTTATTTATCTGGTGAGCTTTAGAGTTAGGTCACCTTGATTGGCCCCCAACCCAATGATACTTGTTCTTCATAAGTCCATGACAGAACCATGAAATGTGGAAGTTATAGGCAATATTAACATACAGGTAACAGAGAAATGAAGTTGGAAAAAATGTGTAATGATATTGTATTGTATTCATTTTTTAAGAATGTATGTTAAAATGCTTGGGTTCTGAAGATAGAATACAATAGAATAGAAACCATGGCTCTTGACCAAGCCCTCCCCATAGGCTGTTCAGGTTCAGGGACAGGGCTGCAGTTCCCAAAGCAGGAGACAGGAAGAGTAGGACATGGCACTCTTAGGCAGGTTACTTAATGATGTGGTGCTGGGGAGATAAGGTCAGTTTAGTAAGTAAAATATAGAATATCCTGTTAAATTTGAATTTTCAGATAAATAGTAGATAATTTTCATTATAAGGATGTGTCAAATATTGCACAAGACATACTATGCTAAAACATTGTTGTTTATCTGGCAGCCAGATGGGGGAGAAGTGGTTATGTGGCAAAACTGGTCTCAGGGACTCAAGTTCAAAACTCAGGTTATGAGAACACCAGTGGGCCAAGGGAAGGGAAGGGATAGGATGTATATCACTCAGGAGCCTATCCTGCACTTGACATGCCATAATAACTCTAAGGCCAATCAGATGCCCTGTTAGAACAACTGGAAGGTCCTTCTTTCCTCATTTAGGCTTGGACTGAGTAAGGCAGAGTTGGGGAAAAATAAATGGGAGCAGGTGAATGAATATAAAATTGTCAGGGTTTCAGGGAAGGCCTGCATTATACATAAGTGTTATGGTTGAAGTGCAAACACAGGGCTGTAGGAAGGAGATATTCTGCTGAGGAGAAATATGAGTAGATTTCTTGGAGAAAGTGGCATTTGAGCTGGACTTGAAGGGAAGTAGAACATCCCTTGCAGAAGCCCACCCTGCTTTCATCAGCTTGGGGTGCTCTAACAAAATGCCACAGATGGCGTTAAGTAACAGACATATACTTCTCATTTGGGGGAAGCAGGAAGTATAAGAGCAGGTCACTGGCTGATTCAGCTTCTGGTGAGGGCTCTCTTCCTGGCTTGCAGACAGCCACCTCCTTATAAGGGCACTAATCTTATGAGGATCTTGTCCCCATGACCTCATCTAGACCGGATTACCTCCCAAAGGTCCTACCTCCAAACACCATTTCACTGGGGCACAGGGCTTCAAAGTATATATTTTTGAAGAAATGATTCAGTCCATAGCATGCTCATTCTAGGCCGAGTGGGGAAGTGACGTTGGTGGATCCTGGCTGCCTGGAGGGTGGGTCACGGTGCTTTGATGACAGACAGGATCTAGATTTAATTCCCTGTGGGGAAATCACATTGTTCCTAGCTAGTGCCCTTTTATTTTCCATCCCAAATATAGGACAGCTTCTCTTTCCGTCTCCCCGGTGACTAGGGGATCTGGGTTTTTCTCTCTCTGGCCCCAGTGCACTCCTCCGCCTAGGCCCTTAGTGTGCATTTTGAAGCTGCCACCCCTTGACTGGGACTCAGCTGTGTTCTCACGCTCTCTGCCCACAGCAGCCCCGGGGGAAGAGCCCACCCTTCGCTCTGACTACAGGGTCTGCTCCCAGGATTTATGCCGGATGCTTTCAGCTGCCTTCATCTTTTTTCCTGTTTCAAATGCTTTTTAATTGGGCTCTTTATCCCCTGATCCTTTAATCCTAAATACCTCTTCTTGATGTCTTTCCCAAGCTCCATATTTCCTGTTCTATGCCCAAAAGCAAAACTTCCCCAATGTCAGGCTCCCAGCTAGGATCACTGCACCCTACGCTTCCTCAGAGAGGCAGTCCCTAGGACTCTAAAACCTCCAGACCAATGTCTCTTCCCAGAAAGCATTAGTCCAGAGTGCTATGTGCCTGTGCCTAGGATTCTCTGGGTCTTATTACATCTGACTGTCCAGACTAGTTCTTAGACCTCATGCTGGCCTCATTTGCAACAAACCTAGGCAAGAGAGCTTTCTTTTTAGGGCCATCTGAGGCTTCAGCACCATCACAGTTATCAAGACATAAAAGCCTTGTCCTCACTGTGAGTGACTGTGTGTGTTTAGAATTATGTAAAAATGTCCTTTGCCCAGGAAGTGGAAAAAATATCTTTAGCTTGGTTATGGGAAAAATCTTAATTATACAGTAAACAACAACACAATGACAGTTTTCCAGAGGACAGACCCTTCTAGCAGTTCTTCAGAACCAGCAGGTTCTTCTGAAGTTTGCAAAGTCAAAAAGCAAGGTGCCTGAGGAGACTGGCTGCCTTCCAAAGTTGTTGATTTTGTTTTTCTAGAGCTTAAAAAAAAAAAAAAAAAAAAAACCACCGTGCTTGAACGTCAGTAGGCAGGGTCAATTCAGCTTCAGTAGTACGGAAGGAAAAAGGAGTTTCTTGTCATTTGGAGGAATTTGAAAACTTAAGGTATAGGAAGCTGGTAACAGTGACCCAGAATATACATATTTGGCTGCCCATGACTACCCTACTCCACCCAAACTTGGTTTAATAAGAATCCGCAGAAGAGGCCATGACAAATAAGACGTGTCTTTCTGGGAGTTAGAATGGTGAGAACAAGGGCAGTGGTCAGCCGGCCCTTGCCCAGCATTTTAATTATTTAGGTGAAAGAGGTAGAAAAAGAAAATGGCAACAGACAGTGGGAAATGAAAGGGACTCTTTGAGGACACCCTCAATTAGTATTGAGCCACTGTGAGAGGTGGGATTGTTCAGGGATGGCTTAGACAAGCCGGGGAAGAGAGTAAGGCGGTTCATGGCAGAGCGTCAGGCCTCAGTCACCCAGGATGAACTCGGGTTATCAGAAGGCAGCTGAACTGTCTTGGATAGGAGTGTCACTCCCAGTTTGGGCCGTCTCAGCTTCCCCAATAATCCAAGAACTGGTGGGTGCTCTGTGTGAAGACCGATGACCTCC